GGTGTAGGGCATGTGGAGAAGTAGAAACACAGCCAATAGTCTGGAAGATGAGAATAGCTGTGCATTGCAGCGGTTCCGGGACTTGGGACCCGGACGGCTCGTCTTTGAGGAGGTAGAGGTGGTGGATTCCGACCTGTGTGTGGGCTGCCGAACTGCTTGAGGGTATTTCAGGAGGCAGTCCATGCATGATTGTATGAGGTGCCAACCTTGCCATACACATGGTCCACAGCGAAGTCGCTTGTCCTTGGGGAGCTGGTACCTGTGAAAGGCTGCGAGGATCAGGTAGAGGATTACATGAAACACAGCGTGGAGGTACTCAACGTAAGTCACCGGCCACATAGGAAAGAAGCTGCTGGTTCTGTACCTGGCTGTCCGGGACATTGAATCTGGCATACTCTGTATGGGCGGGCTTGGCGAGAGTGACGTCACAAGAGATCCCCGGCGTGCAGCAGATGGACACATGCGCGCTAGGTTCTTTTTGAGAGACCAGGGCGAGTCTGAGTGGTATGAGCAGTCTGAGCGAGGTTGCCGTACAGCAACAGCAAAGCTCGATGGACCGAGCAATCTGAGCACCCTGAGCAACTTGCTGGCTTGCGACTGCAGTGTGGAGGGTCTGGGCTGTAGAGGTGGCCAGAGGATCCAGGGACCTGGGGTCGCATTGTGTGCTAGTGCAAGTGCACATGCCGAAGTCCTCGCGAGAAGCTGGGGGGCCCGTGAAAACTTGATACATGCCGGTGACTCATCTGTGTCCCTCTCAGTCGGAAAGCTCAGTTGGTCAATCCTCTCGTCCTCGCCTGAGTAGCAGCCATGATCACCACTGGGTTTGTTGAGGCTGGGACTTGGCGTTGTCTGAGTGACAAATTGAGGTCCGTACTTTCTGCTGGCTCGAGGCTTAGCCTGCGGAAGGGCTCCGGATGTTGTAGACGAGGCCTTGGGTGTCACCGCCGTTGAAGTCACGGGGGTCGTGCTCGACAAGATGGTGCCCGTTGAGCCGGTAGATCCCGAGGCCGTCGACGAGGGCATAGCTAACGGCATGCTTGAGGGAGCCTTGGGGGTCACATGGGCTTTCGCCGGCGTCGCCGCCATGGTCCTCGCCGGGGATGGTACCGGAGGTGAGGCAGTAGAGAGCGCAGTGGCGCGGAGTGCCCACTCTGGGTCCACCTGGTAGTCGGGATCTAGATCATCATCCCCTGTAGGTATGTCCAAAGCCCGTAGTATCTCATCCCATTCAGCATCCGCTGCTGCTGCCTCCAGGCCCGCGGCCGTGTCTCTGGTTGGGGCCTCAGGCGCCTCAGTCTCGGTCATGGTGGCAGTCCCAGGCGCTCCGGCCAGGAATTCATTAGGAGCCAGCGGTGGGTCGGTGCCTGGTACATGATATGTATCTCGCGGTGGCGTTCCGTCCCCCACCCACATCACATGGGGGTGGAACCGATCCGAGGGCCTCATTGGGCGGATGTCCATAACCAGACCTTCATGCTCTTGCCAGTCGAAAGGTGGGTGCGTGAGCACCTCTTGAATCTGCCCTCCCATGGACTGAATCACTGTGCCAAGCGCCGCCGAGAGGTTGTACGAGGCTTCACGAAGTACCCATATTGGCCTCGGCGGCGGAGGTCCCCTTGGAGGGGAGTTCGGATGGGGCGAAGCCGTGGAGCCGTCCGATGCCGGAGGATCCACCTCCTCTTCGGGGGCTTCATCTGCCATGGCAGCGGGATCACTGCCTCCTTGCCCACCTGGAGCTCGCTTCGCACTTCCCTGTCCTTGAGCCCTGTGATATAGCGTGACAACGCGATTGCCGGTATGGCTGCACAGCAAGCTAGTCAATAT